CTGAACAGTTGCAGCGAACATAAAAGAGGGAAAAAAAATGTCTGTTAAGATTAATTAAATTACTTTTAATTATGTTAATTAATATGATTATTATGGCTACCACCCTTCTGCTGGTACAACGGACGTATTTTAAAAAAGGGAAATCGAAAAGGTAAAGCAATGTTTGACTTGAATTTAATGAGGTACACGTGGCGTTTATTCTTTGGACTAATGTGATGATTAAGGAGGAGATTTGGGTATAATTAGTAAGACCGTGACGTTAATTAATGATTGGTGCTTGATTACGTCAGCAGTTAACAGAAGATTATAATTATTAGTCGTACGATTTAGGTTATCGTTTTTTTTTCCTTTGATTCTAAGCAAAAATTATACCCAAATTTCTCATTTTAATATATCACCAATAAAATGGAAAAGCAATAAACTACTTCAAAATCAAAAACCTTCCGACAAAAATATTAAAATTTATTTTTCATTGTTATAGTCTTTTTTCCCAAGTAAATTAAAATGGATATGTAAGCCCATGCTTTTAACTTGTACACATTAAGCCCATAAAGGCCCAAATACTGTCAGTGAAAAGAAAACTTTTTTTTATTAGAAGAAACCCAAAACTTTTAAGCGATTCTCTTCGACCCCTAATTTATTGCGGCGGCGATGGATTCGTCTTCCGTCGTCAGCTCATGAAACTAAATCTCTCGAATCTTTCTCTTCTCAGATTTCTTCGGACTCGAAAATCGCTCATCTTACACATCCGAGCAATGACTCAAACTCCGATTCCAATTCCTAATCCAAAGCAAGTAGTCGACGATCTCATCTGCTCGGAGGAGCAGCAGCAGCAGCGTGATGGGCAGATCGAGGAAACGGTCGACGCATCACCGGCGAGTTTTGGCTCTCCGGGTCGGGTCTTAAGCGCTGATACTAGGGTGGAGCGAGCTTGGGCACACTGGAAAAAACTCGGTAGACCAAAGTACATCGTTGCTCCGATGGTTGATAACTCAGAGTTGCCGTTTCGATTGCTTTGCCAGAAATACGGAGCTCAAGCGGCTTATACTCCGATGTTGCATTCGAGGATTTTCAGTGAGACTGAAAAGTATCGTAATCAGGAATTCACCACCTGCAAGGTAAAGTAACTGAAGATTATTTCGATCTGGTTTCTGGTATGTGATTTAGGGTTTTTGATTGAATTTGTGAAATTGTAGGAGGACAGGCCCTTGTTTGTGCAGTTTTGTGCTAATGATCCTGATACTCTATTGGAAGCTGCGAAAAGAGTCGAACCTTACTGTGATTATGTTGATATCAATTTAGGGTAAGTACAATTCTCTCTTTTTTTGTAGGGTTCTTCAATAAAGATGGAGTTTTTATGGCAACATCACTGTTTACGTTTGTTAGTTTTCTGATAAGCAATGTAGAATTCAGCGATTTGGGTTTCAAGATTTCTGGAAATGATAGACTTCAATGACATTAAGTAGCTTGAATTATGGGCTGGTGCCTATAGTGGAGCTTAGTTTGAATTCAGTGATTAGGGCACAATGAGCATTTTGATTTTGAGTAGGATGTTTGGGGAATTTTGGTTTCAGGTGTCCTCAACGTATTGCTAGGCGAGGGAATTATGGTGCATTCTTGATGGATAATCTTCCTTTAGTGAAATCACTTGTCGAAAAGTTAGTCCAAAACCTCAGTGTTCCTGTCTCTTGCAAAATCCGGATTTTCCCGAACCTTCAAGATACGCTGAATTACGCTAAGATGCTAGAAGATGCTGGTTGCTCGCTGTTAGCTGTTCACGGCCGAACAAGAGATGAGAAAGACGGGAAAAAGTTTAGAGCTGATTGGAGCGCAATCAAGGAAGTGAAAAACGCTCTGAGAATCCCTGTTCTAGCGAATGGGAATATAAGATACATTGAAGATGTTGATGACTGCATCAAAGAGACTGGCGTTGAAGGTGTTCTTTCCGCTGAGACGCTTCTTGAAAACCCCGCGGTCTTTGCAGGGTTTAGAACAGCTGAATGGGCAAAAGATAGCGAAGCAGAAGAAGAGGGATTCGTCGATGGAGGATTAGATCAAGGAGATTTAGTTGTCGAGTATTTGAAGTTATGCGAGAAACATCCTGTTCCATGGAGGATGATTCGATCTCACGTTCATAAGATGTTGGGAGATTGGTTTAGGGTTCATCCACAGGTTAGAGAAGAGTTTAATGCCCAACACATATTGACGTTTGAGTTCCTATACGGTCTTGTGGATCAGCTAAAAGAGCTTGGAGGACGAGTTCCACTCTACAAGAAAAGGAAGATAGAGACTCCGAAGCAAGAAGAGTCTCCTCAAAGGGTAGAGAGTTGAATTTATTATACGTTCTTAATTCATTGAGATTTATGTTGTATCACCAATCATTAGTGTCGCTATACTTTTTTTAAGTAAAACTCACTAAACTAAATTTTCATTAATATTATCTTAAATTTTAGTTAATTTGTAGAGACAAATCACATGGTTTTAGAGTATTTTAACTAAAATCTTTTAAATTATCCAAAATCATTTAAAATGCAAATACTAGATTTAATACATCTCCTAACAATTTTAAAGAAAAAGTACCATATTTTTTGCTTAATAAGATTTTTAATTGATCTGACTGAATTTTCACATGTGTCAAAGATTGAAAAATACAGAGAGAAATATTTAAAGGTAAAAAAAGAAAAGTGGATTTTTTTTTATTTTATACAAACTCCCCGCGATTGACGTGTCAATCACCACCGACGACTGTCTGTGTTGATTTGACTCTCGAGACTTTTAGCGCACATTTTACTCAAGACGACGGAGAAACAGAGCGTTTCTTACGACCATGACAAAACTGCGTGCTGTTTTTATCCATCTTCTCCAACACGTAGTGCGCAAGCATATCATTAGATTCCACAAGATTTTCCCGGCAAAGAAACTCGTCGCCGCAAAGCCTCTCCACCTCTCTGTAATAATCATGCACGAACACATGCGTCTTCGGATTCTTACCGGACTTTTTACTCCGGGAAAGAACCGCCGCCGTAAAAATCGACGACATCCTTCCCGGTACATTTCCACCGTCGCCACGTGGCCCATCGACTAAGATCACATCCCAATCAACATCGTAGACATGATTCGGCAAATCGTTGAGTCCTAATTTACAATCGGAGAAGAGAAGATTCTGCACCGGTCTACACTCGTTCCTCGCCGATTCTTTCACCGACGATATAAGCTCACGTGCCTCACGTGCTTTTGTCGTGTACTGAACATCGAAAACTTCGATCTCTGGGTGGATTTCTTCGAAGTAAGCTGCGTAGTATCGATTCTCTTCGATGAATACGGTTCGACCGTTGTGGTTTAGCGATTTCCAGAGAAGGGTTTCGTGTGTTAAACCGAAAACGAGGAGATTACACGGCGGAGAGCAGCGGCGGAGTACGTCGGAGATTGATTTCATTTCTCCGTATGACATGTGGAAACTGTCGTTGGATCTTGAAGCGTAGTGAAGCAGAGCATTGATTGTGGTTGTTGGTAATTGAGTGATCGGAGTTGTGGAGACGGCTGAGTTGACGACGGAGGAGACGACGGTGGTGTTTTTGGAGGTGATGATTGAGTCGGTGGTGTAGAGTAGAGTTAAGAGAAATGCGATTGTGAAGAAAGAGACAAAACCGAGAAGCCATAAACGATTTGTGCTTGTTTGTTTTTGAATGTATGGATGAAGAAATATGAGCTTCGTGTTTGTGTTTCCTCCATTTTTCATTTTTTTTTCTTTTCTTTCCCCTGTTCTTATTTTTTGGTCGGAGGAAGAAGACGAAGAAATTGACTCTGTTTTAAAAGGAAAGTGTTTTGGTTTTGGGAAGTATTAATTGGAACTTATTAGAGACTGATGACGAGACGTCACAATGTGGTAGGAATATTATAATGTATAGTTTTGCCATATATTCTAGAAGATTAATTTACTATGGAATAAATTTTAATCCGCCGGCTTTATGTAATTTTAAACTTGGTTTATCTCACTGTGGAATCTTTTTAGCCCTAATTATTTCCCACCTTTGAGAGGTTTCTTAAGGCGGTATTTCTCTAATACAAGTACAATAAATACACTAACATTAATCTAACATGGACATTACCTAATTCACAAACAGTAGTAAATTAAGGATAATAAGTATCGAATACGGATAATTGGACTTGTTCAAACGACTCTTGATTAGTTGTTGAAATTTGCCAAATTAAAAATCTAAAGTTTAAAACTTTAAACCGTTCGAACTAATACACTGAATTGGTTATCGTTCGAACAATAATAAACATATATACACATATATAAATATATATGTTTCTATAAATGTTTAGTGCGAAACGGTACAAAACGGCCGTAAGAGCCATAGAATTAAGAGACTATGAGACACAAGTGTTTATCAATCAAATCGTGAATTGTCATGCGATTTGTGGTTTGTTGGGAAGAATACAAAACTGGCGAAACTGAATTATAAAAAAACAAAACAGAAATTGTTTTGTGTTGG